TGAATGGCGAAGACGTTATCCTCCTTTGGATGGACACAGCGCAAATGTAGGCAAGAAATATAACAACGGAGACCGCAACAAGCGCCGCGAGCAGTTGCCGTGGTGCCCTTTGTTGTGGCTCCGCTGTGTTTGCCCCCTTTTCCAACTCATCTTCGTGTTGAATGGAGCCATTTTGCTTCGCATCGGCAGACAGAGCGTGAGCAGCAAGACAATCAAAGACGAAGGGGGCGTCCCCAAGCCCCGAAGGTGTCATCGTGAAGTATGTATCACTCATTAATTGCTTCAAAGCCGATGCACATTGTGCTTCAGGCCGCTGTAGTAATCAGGGCGAGTGATGTTCCCCTCCAAAAAGCGGCGTTCACTTGGAGAGCACAGCACATATGATTCGGGTTGAGGTTACACGCAACGATTAAGCAACTTCAACGGTGTGAGAAGCATCACAGCAATATTTCTTCCCGCATTGAGGAGGGGTAGATGAAACTTAACTTTCATCGCCAGGAACGGCTAGTGTTCTCTTAAAAAACTAACGGAAGAATTATTAAGAAGCTCATTGGCCTCCTTTTAGAATGCTTGGAACACGCCAGACGGATCCCGCGAAGGGACCGGGCGTTCCGTTGTATCCGCGCCCGTGGTTTTCCGGTCACTGACGTCAGCGGCACCAAATCATTTAAGGGGAAACGATACAGAGGGGTGGAAATAAAGAAGAAAAATAAATAACAGTTCAGTCCCTGCTCTACGGGTTGATGGTTTAGCAGTGCAGTGGGAGAAGCCACGCTGATCCAAGCCACCAGGTTCGAGTGCCCGTTTCGATTGCGAGACGGAGGCAACCATTTGACTCTTTCCAGCCTCCCGCCTGCGCAAATTCCCCCTGTTGGATGAATGCTCACATAAATTTAAAAACGCCTCGAACGTTGAACCAATCGAGAAGAGGTAGAATTGAGACTTACCTCGTTTTTCTCTGTGGGCCATCGGATGCTTGCTCGGTCTGTAGTTGGGAATCAATGCATTTCTACTGGCGTGCAGACTGGCTACTGAGGGAGAAGGGAGTCTTAAGCTGTATGCAGCTCGAGGGAAAGTAGAATTGCATGTACCAACTTCTGGCGGACGACGCTGCAGTGAATCCGAATGCTGGTGGAGCGTCGAGACGTGCCACTGGGGATAGAAAGCATNGGCGGACGACGCTGCAGTGAATCCGAATGCTGGTGGAGCGTCGAGACGTGCCACTGGGGATAGAAAGCATATAGATGCTCTAGGAAGATACCGCAACACCATATAAAAGTTGGCGCACTAATCTCATCGTAAACTAATCAATTCGTTAATCTTGAAATACCAAGTCGCTGGTTCGATCCCAGTCTGCGGAGTTTTACGGAAGGAGAGATTTGAACTCTGATAGAAAATTCCATTACATTACAACCTAAATTTAATAGGTCTAGATTTAGGTTCCAATAGAATTTTCACGTGGAGACGTGCCACTGGGGATAGAAAACATATAGATACTCTAGAAAGACACCGCAACACCATATGAAAGTCGGCGCAAACGGTAGCTGCAATCTGGCGATCCCTACAAGCAAACACATCCATGCCCTTGTTGGTGCTGGCAGTAACACTGTAGAGATTTGTTAAACGCTTCCTTATTCCCCAGTGGCCAGCCTTCCCACGCAGGTGTTTTACTATATCTTCTGTATTAGTGCATGCAACGAATGGGGCTATGCTCTTGTCTGCGTGTGGAGTTGCTTTACAGCACTAGCTGCAGCAGGGCATTTGCAACCCATGCGGCACCTGCTCCTTTCCGCACCGGCTTACGCCTTCACACCGTGGTAACCAGGGTGCCTACAAGCTTTAAGGAGGGTCAGATGATTTTCGGAACGTTCGTTTGAAGCCTGTGACTCTATTGCAGTTCCTGACGGTCAGCTAAGATCGGCGACTCTCGCTACGCTCAACACCCCTAAACCGCTGTAAAGAGGGGTTTCGGTCTTAACCAAGAACTCTTCTGCGCTTCAGCGNCACCTAGTCTGTAACCGTCCTAAGCAAACACGCATTAAGGCATGGGATGGATGAAAGAGGGAAGGGCCTGTCATGATGGGCTACACAAGTTGTTGTACCTCCTGGTGCACGGCAACACCACATGCCAGCATGACCCAGCCCAGCTTTTGATGCGTGCACTAACGCTGTAGTCAACGGCCAGACACTGTCGTGACCCTCAGTAGCCGACCGCGCAAGTGAAAACACATCTAATACCAGCTCCAGACAGACCGGGCTGCATGGTGCAGTTACCGCGTGCAGGCACTGTCTGTTCCTTCACTGTCTGTGCGCTCCCATTCTAGAGAAATAAGCAGTTACAGACTGGAAGTCAGGAAATAACGTGCGTCTCACAGGGAAAAGGGTGGTGAGGGCTCCGGCAGGCACCACTACGAATGCACGGATGCGTTGGCGGCACCGCTCCTGTAATGCTGCCAAGTGAGCTTCACAAATATTCGATATCACTCGCATGAGACTCAAATGTGGGATTCGCGTGTACTGAGGCTTCTCGGCACTACGGCGTCGCCTGTTGGGGCAGCACGTTCAATGAGCTCTAGCTATGAGCACTGACACGGATGCGCTCCCGTATTCGAGCGCCACTTCATCACATATTGCTTGCCAAGCTTCCTGTTGATCATTTGTTTTCTGCCACACTCGGCTGCAAGGACAATCGCCAGTGTGCGGCGTCTCTTCTCCACGCTTTCCACTGTTCGGCCTTGAACTTGGACGAGCCTGGTTCACAAAGCAGGGCTTCCTTCAACCCGACAACAAGGAGAGCTGGGGGTCGGAGCCCTCTCCTATAATACTCGAGCACCGCGTTCAGCGCGCGCCCAACTTCTGCATTTCTCAAAGCCTTATCCGTCATTTGGTATTCGTTCCTTGGCACGAACTTTACACTTCCTATCCGACGTATTAACGAGGGCCACCAATCCTGCTTCATCGAGTGCTCTCCTATTACCTCTGCTGCACAATAGAGAGTGTCCAGAACAAGAAATATCGTGCCCAGAGTTTCTATGGCGTACAACGCGTGCCCACGTCTGTAGGTCAACGGCATGTTGTACATTGCGAATGCGAACAGGCGTTCTGCCTCCATTAGAAGACTTTCAAAGTCAAGCTGGCTAAGTGACGGCTTCTTCATGATTTCCATACACATCGCAAGCGCCGGATTCGCTCCCTTCTGGGATGGGGCAAGAGAGCTTGCTAACCGTGCATTAAACGATCTACTGGTGAACGCCGGCCGATTTGGCGGGTAACGGTAAAATGGGTGCATCCTCAAGGCCTCAGGAGGAATCCTTGGAAGAACATCTCCGACAAACCTGAATAGGGAAATGACAGTTGCGTCAGCAGGCAGCTCTGTCGAAGATGCCAACTGAATATAGCACACCAAAACAGCAACACTTCCGTACGGCCTTCTGTGCTTCAGCAGCTTCCAANTGCCAACTGAATATAGCACACCAAAACAGCAACACTTCCGTACGGCCTTCTGTGCTTCAGCAGCTTCCAAACGAGCTGGGCATTGAAAAGCTGTGTAAACAGCAGAAACTCCTGCTGCAGTGACAACGGGGTAACGCTAGCTGGCGTCTAGCATAACCCTGCTGTGCGCTGCCATAAGACACGCCCTACCTGCTCAGCTGATCCACTTTCCTGAGACGGCGTGACTCCCGAAGGCAGGTGCTGCGAGGCAGAAGAAGCCCTGGACGAAGACGCCAAAGAATCCTCAACTGGAGCTGTGGAGGTGCTGGCCGTTCCTTCTTTGGCAGCAGCATGAGCTTCTGCTACGGGTGGCTGAGGAGACTCCTTTGTCACCTGATGGTACACAACAAAGCACGCACTCGACAGGCTGCCGCCCATCCACTTTCCCAATACGGGCAGAGCATGGGGCAACACGCATTGAATGCGGACATGCTAGCTAATAATATGGTCTGAACTCATCTCAGAGGCTCACATCTGCTGCAGCTGGGGAAGGCCCCGTGTGCTGGGGCTCAACGGCGGCAGCTGGTCCTGGCTGCATTTGGCGGCCTGAAGTGCCAGGGGCGGACTGCCCTTCTCTGCCGCCTTCTGCTTTGGGCTCTTT